ACGCGATTATTTTGTTTGATGATAAGACATTGCAAGAAGGAAATATGATTCTGGCATAAAAATAATACTAATAACAGCGATCCCAGATGTTTAACAATCCTTTTTATGAGTTTTTTCATCCTTAACGAGGAATCTCTTGGCCTGCATCTTACCTAATGATCAGGCCAAAGATGGAAACGAGCTTCACACGGAATCCTCATACACAGAAGAACTCGCTATCTTATCTCTAACTGCCTGAATACAACAATGCTGTAGTTACAATATCTTAGCAGAATTTCGAAATTACAGTTCAAGGAAATACGCCTGAACGAGCTTTTCTTGAAACGTAGCTTTCGCAGCAACTATCGATACAATAGTGACACGATGCAATATCGTATAACGCATACTGGCACTTGTAATTCGAAATTCCAATATGGTCGGTGGACGTCATATAGCACAATATGCGCCCACATTTTCTGCACACGAATTCTGCGTGTATTGCGACGTCGCTCGTTTATGATTTGATCGGACCAGTTTATCGATTTCGACAGCTAACGACACTCGTTTTACTCGTGTTACCGATTGTTACAGTTGCTAATTTAGGTAACACGAGGTCGCTTCGAAAACAGGGGTTAGGGTTGTGCAGTTAATTGACAAGATTGAATATACTGGGAGTAGTATTAATGCATCACCTCGATAGTTATAGAGCGAATTTTCTGTTTTAGCTCCGAGCTTTTGCTTGCCTATTCGCCCGCGAGAATATCGAACTGTCATCATCATCATCATCATTTCAGCCATAGGACGTCCACCTTTGAACATACGCCTCCCCCTAAGATTTCCACAATGGCCGGTTGGTGGCGTCCTGCATCCAGCGCCTTCCTGCTACCTCTATGGGGTCGTCGGTCCACCTTGTGGGTGGACGTCCTACGCTGCGCTTTCCGGTACGAGGCCTCCACTCCAAAACCTACTATGTGCCATGCCCGTTGCCACTTCAGCTTACTAATCCGTTAGGCTATGTCAGCAACTTTAGTTCGTTTACGGTTCTCCTCATTTCTGATTCGATCTCTTAAAGAAATACTGAGCATAGCCTTCTCCATTGCACGCTATGCAATCCCCCTTTCAAAAACTGGGAGAAAACTATTCTATATCTTTCTCTTTGACAAATAATACCTACACTTTAACCGTCCTCATAAAATCACTATCTAATGGTGAAATGAACACCATATCGTGTCTTGAAAAACGATACTTAGTCGGAACCGTTATCGGCGATATATTATATTTTTAATCCAGTACATCGTAATAAAATAATGTTGTGCTCTACTTCAATGACGATTAACGTAGTCTGTCACATTTTACGTCAAATAAACATTTTGCTTCACATCGAAGCAATATTCGTCGTCATAGACCGTCGTAGCTAGCCCATAGACAAGTTTATAGCCGCACTAATGTTATTTCGGGTTTATGTGACCGCGGCCCTAATGTGACGTCTTGGAATAGCTTTATCGACGCTACCTGCACTTACGCATTGCATCGTGTGGTCGCTACCAGATGCGTGTACATGTACAAACGATAGCACATAAAACTATGCACTGGCACAATTTAAAGTTGTTTGGTAAAGTAATTAAGTATTGCAAGAAAGAAAGAAAAAAAAGGAAAAATAAAAAAAAATGTCGTAACCATAATGGTTTGCGCTTAGTATGAGGTCTGTATTTGTTTTGACTATTTTATGATGGGTTACTAATCGTCGAATCTGTAGAGAAAAGATAATTAAAGGATTGGGAGGATGCCTTCGTCCAACAGTGGACGTCATTTGGCTGAAACGAACGAACAAGTGTTCCATACAATTTAACATAATCTTTTTAATCTAGCAGAACTTCGACACAAATATTTGGCCAGTCCTGAAAAGCACGCTTAACATAAAAGAAATAGAACCCTTCTATCTTCAACTGAACTCTGAATAAATATCGCTGAAACATAAGCCCTTCCCACAGCTCGCTGAGTGATAACCACATGTATTCGTTCGCATTACAAACAGAGAACACATGCTGACATGAGAGGTACAATCACACACAATCAATCTGTGTAAAAACAAGTGTTGTAGAAATGTAAGCATGTAATCAGTATTGTACTCGCGTGTACTAAATTAGGCTCGGTTTCCACCAAGGCAGAGCGGTGGGGAGCGGAGCAGAGAAAATTTTTGGATAATCAATGAGATTTTATTTTATTTGCACATCTCCACTCAGCTCCGCTTCAGTGGAAATGGATCGAGCGGAGAAGAGCGAAAAAGTGTCGGGCGCACTTGTTTTTCTATAGGCCTTGTCCAGGAGGGCGAATTCGCCGCGAATGTCTACGCGCGCAGAATCATACGCGCGTTGGCGAGATACTAGCAGCCAATACATTGCGTCCACAAGACACGCGCGAGTTGAAAATTCGCGCGTAAATGGCTTCATACATTACGCTCGTGTTAGTGCGAAGACATTCGCGGAGAATTCGCCTTTCTGGACAAGGCCATAGAATTTGACAGCGGCGGCGGCGCGGCGCCGTGAGGTGTTCCATAGATAGCAATAGACTGACAGCTACGCACAGCTCACACGTCTCCGCACCGCTCGGCGCTTCTACGCCCTTCTCTGCTATGCCTTGGTGGAAATAGCCTGCCTTCGCTGCACATCTCTCGTATCTGCACCGCTCCGCTTGGTGGGACCCAGGCCTTACTGACTAGACGTCCCGTCACACTCCCACGCATGTGATAAACCACAGCCGGCTAACAATGTCTCCATCTGCTGGTTATTTCGAACGGTGAAATCAGGCTGGGTACTAATATCTTAATTATTGCTAGTAAAACATTATTTAGGCTGAGGTGTACCAGTAAGAGAGTCTCTAACCGGAAGGTATACTGTTTACAGTATTCCGGTTAGTTTACAGTACAGTACAGTTACATTACAGTTAGCAGATTATTATGTTTTCAGGATCATAGTCATTATCATCAATAACATTAACATATTTTTTTTCTTTACTTCATTAATATTGTTTCAGTAAACTGGTCGAGAATGCTTTAGTGCATTAAGTTCGCCTTATGTAGATACAAATTTATTTTGGCATTGAAGTTTAAATAAATAAATAAAAATATTATTATCAAATAAATTTCAAAGAACTCAGCTTTCCACAGAGCCCGGTCCCGAACTGCCTTATGAACGAAAACAATAAGGAATCTTTTGACGAGTGAACTACCAAGAACATTCGCGAATTCACCTACTTAGTAATTACTTAATTTTTGAATGAAGATCGCTTCTATCCAGCATAATATTCTTCGCCGCATCAGTGCCGTCTGAAGGTGCTTGGTTCAATTCCCAGGTGGGACACGCAAATTCCCGATTCCCGGTTTGATATTACAGCTAAAACTATGTTTACCTACTACTTTCCAAGTAGAAGATAGATCGTGAATCTGATAGTCTTATGGAGTCTCATAAAATGTTACACCATAATTATATTGTAATCAGGCCTACAATTACGGAAACAGAACATATTTTATGAAATCTTAAAATTAATCTTCACTTTGTTTATTCAAATTACAATCACAAAAAGCTTGAACCCGTCTTATTTTAAGTCAGTTTCTTTATATTTCTCTTTTGATATTAACAAAGGCAGCTTCATGTTTTATATCAGATAAAAAGGTTGGCTCTAGTTTAGAGATTAGAGCTTTTGAAATGCTTTTTACTACAGCTTTAATGGCAGGGGTCAACAGTCTCGTAAATTGACTACAAATATTACAAAGGAAAAGTATATACAAACGCATTTTTTTTCTGTTAATAACTGAGAATTCCGAATAAGAGGCAATGTGAGGCAGTAATCTATCAATTGAATATTACAGTAGTCTAATGTCTAGATTGCCACACTTGTAATGGCTTTCATCAAAGAATAATTACAATGTTAAAATTGATTGCATTGTTGTGTTCCGGCAGTTAGAGGTAAGATAGCCGTTCCTCCGTGGTTGAGGATTCCGGGTGAAGCTCGCTTCCACCTTTGGCCTGATCATCACTTACCATCAGGTGAGATACAGGCCAAGAGCTTCCTCGTTGTGGATAAAAAAAATACTTACTGTGAGTGGTAATGTGACCAATTTTTACAGAATCGGTTTTTACTGAAACACCTACTACTGCTGAAGTTTTACTGAACAATTAAAATGAGCATTAAGCACTTGAAATTCTAAATGTAATTATTTAAAATGAATGCCATTATTGACCTCATTTCCATTAACAATGTTGTCTTTATAGTGAAGTCAAATCGGATCACCCTATTATAACTTTCATCACAGTCTAGCGAAGCAGTTTAGTGACTAGTAGTCCATTTTCTCAGTCGCTAGCTACTTCATTATAATTATTATGATTTATGACAACTAAACAGTGCTGTTTTCTATTCGAATTTCGGACACAGAAAATATTGCGACAGGTCACGCGTTTAGTCTAAAAATGATACATCATACGCTAAATTCTGTCATGAAATTGTCACACGCACTTTGCTGCTACTAAAAGTAACTTATATTTACGATTTTACGATGTTTGATTTTCAAATGAACTTACTAATTTATCTTTTTTGTAAAATTTTACATTAAAGTCATCATTTCTCATATTTTGGACTCGAAACTTACAGAAATTTTAATTTATTAGAGGAGAGGGTAGCGTCTTAATTAATCGTACCTACTATGATCAATGTTGGTAAGTATTATAAATAATATGAAAATTGACACATAATTTTGTTTATTTTATTTACGAAAAACTAGTTTTTATCGGTATTTACAATTTGAATCTGGATAGGAAACTACACACATAAGAATAGTTCCTAATTAAAAAATATCTACCCGCGTTTGCTGAACATACATTTTCTTTGAGACTGATCTCATAATTATTCCTTTGTCATAGTTTTATTGAAAGATTTTATTATGAAACTGAAAAATATTTGGATTAGACTCATTGTTAAAGTACAAATACGATATCATTATCACTATGAAACTATGCTATACTCACTTTGCTAAACGTAAACACTTAATTTGCAACTAAAACTTGTATAACCATAGATCATTTTGAAATCACATACAACACAATAATCTTTCACTTGATAAAAAGAACCAACTTTCACTTTATAAAAAAAAACCAAACACCACTTTGGAAAACTGTTTAAAAACAGTAGGACGCTTGTCAAAGTATATCAGATTGCAAAATAAACAGAAAAGCCAAAGAATTGGTGGAAGCTTCAGAAGTGTGAAGCAGGATAGTGGCGCGGGCGCACTGAGTCGCCGCATTTGAAATCAGTTGTTACTATGTCATAGATTAAATTGACAGAAGCGACAAATAATCATATTGAAATTATGTGCAAATGACTGGAATAAAAAAATAATGAATAAAAGGCTTTATTTAGCACCAATAATTAAAATTACGAGTAGGCACCTATTAAAAGAAAAAAACAAGAAATGTAATAAATGTACAGGACACCCGCTCGGTAGGATGTAAAGTCAACTATTAGTTTAGCCATTCTAGTTCATAGTTACGTAATTTTGGTGAGCTTTTTTAATGGCACTCGTTTAGGTATATTTGTACTTACAAATTATTTTCATTCTGCGTCTAATATTTTATTCCATCTTTATTGCCCCATTCTTTCCCACAACAATCTATTTTAAGAACTGAAATCTCATAAAGCAGATGTCTTTTTCATTTGAAAGTCATTTACCTACCTACTTTCTGCAATAATCGACTTTTTACAGCGCTTTCACATCTCAATATTACTTTAACTACCACTTCGGGACAATAAATTGACCAGTGCTGAGAAAAAGCAGCGCTAGAAAGTAAGTAACTTTTTCAGCCTCTTTCAAGGATGTAGAATTAGTACAATACCTAGTTATACTGTAAAGTTCTAAGTGGCATGTCTGTAGTTACTTAGCCTTTGCCCCGTCTCGTCTAATATTAGGTGCGCGCGCGCCGGCCGCGCGTATCAGTTCAGGTTTTTATTGTCCGACGCCGGGGTATTTCGGGACTCACGCTCGGGACGACCGGTCCAATCCACGAAACGGATTAATTCTGATTTCTGCATTATTGATGGGATTGGATTGGAAAACCAGTGTCTAAACATCAGGTAGATTTGTTTTCAAATTAAAATTCATTTTTCAATTTTTTTCGGGGTTACAGTCTACGCATGACTTTGATGTGTTACGTACCGCATTATTATTACTATACTTATGATAAACTGTTACATTTGAGCAAAGCATCCAAAAAAGGATTTTACTTGAATTTTCGAAATGTTTTCAATGTGTATGTGTGAAACTTTTTACCGAAAAATAGTCTTAACTCTTAAAACAATAAATTTAATCATCTTAAACATTTTTATTTCATGAGCACGTTCTTCGAATTTAGATTTCTGGAAACAGGCTAAACTTGAAAGCATACTCTACCCAATCATGAAAATTAATTTTCACATAACTGCCAAAATAAAAGAGGAGAAATATCAAATAACATTATTATTGACAAACCGTTGACCTAAGTTAATTACTTTAGAGATTATTAATTTACTGTTATTAAAATCCAATTTTATCGGCCATGATTTATTAAAAATGTCAATCTTAAAACTTAAAAGAGCAATAATTTTCCATTTCTAACTCCAAAGTTGCCCAACTCAACATCAACTGAAAGGGGTCTACTTTGTTATAATATTTAGTTAATTGACCCTTCCCTCCCTCTTTGGCATTTGCAATACCTAGGTACATTGAGCAAGAAAAGACAGTTTTACTCGTGTTAATAGGTAAGTAAGTAGAGATAGACTCATCATTATAAATTTACATAAGTACGTAACTAAGCTTACACGATATATGATATTCTTCTCTGGACACTAGTCGTTACTTTAATCGGCTTAAGTACATTACAGGTAAACAAAATACGCAGAGACAGCTTCAGCAGCAGAATTTCTATATCGTTTGTCTTTCTTACTCTCTCTGGAGATAAAAGTTGTCGAAAGAGACGAACAATGGACATCTTATCCCACCGTAAACCCCCAAATAAATAACGAGAAATTCCCCAAAGGTCTTTGTTAATAGGATTATATTTTAATTAAGGCGATTCGTTCCATAGGGAATCGCTAATTCGTGGGTACCCCTGGGGACACCTGGGGCGAGTATTCCAGACTTTTTCGCCCTCAATTTGTTTCGTAATTATTGAGCGCTTGACGAATTGTTTCGGGGAAATTGTGGCAGGACATTTTGGGGACATTCTCATTTAAAAGTTGACAACCTGATGTCTTTGATGATTGGTTTCTGTTACGTGATGCTAAAAGGCAAAATATAACCTCATTCATTCCTCTTCCTTGGTACTCGTAAATACGAGTAATTTATTACTAAAAACTTACTAGAAATGAAGCAAATATAAAGTGTAATTTTCTATCCTAAAGAGCTTTCATTTACTCTTCGTTCATTCGTTCGATTCAGCCAAATGACATCAAATGCTGGACAGGCCTACCCCAAGAATTTCCACATCGTCCAGTCCTGCGAGCCTGCATCAAGGTGCTTTCCGCGACCTTCACTAGTTCATGGTCTACAGGTTTTGGTCATTTTTTACATTTGTACTTTTTAACACGTAAATAGTCAATTATCCAAATAATACCAGTGATGCCAAGGCAGTGTTTGGCATGNTGGACAAAGGTTTTGGTCGTTTTTTACATTTGTACTTTTTAACACGTAAATAGTCAATTATCCAAATATTACCAGTGATGCCAAGGCAGTGTTTGGCATGCCTTCGACTGTAAATTGTATAAAACGTACTATGTATAGGTAATTAAGAAGGAACGTATTTTCATCGCAATCTTTAAAAAGCCATGTCAAGTATTTCAACGTTCTTTCCAAAACGAGTCGATAACAAATACTTCAGGCACGCTCAAACATGAGATCCAGCATTTCGCTGTACATTCTTACTTCAGACTGGAATCCCAATATATCCTGAGACATGTCTAGTGAAAAACTGGGGTGTATTCGATTGACAAATACTTTCCAAGATAACAACAGTTTGTTTTGTGTGTCGGGGGAAATGAGATTTTGTTTCGGAGGTAAGGGAAATCGGTAACCGGTATCCCGGTTACTGTGAATCGGATTTTATTGGTTAACTTTATTCTAAGGGTGGTTCGACTGATCAATAGTAAATTGTTTTGACTAAGCTTATTTGGTGGTGAACGTTTTCAAAGAGTTTAAGATTTGCTTAACAGTTGTTAAGACAAAGAGTTCAAAAATAAAGTTATTACGAGTATTAGTGTTTTTATAGTAGATCTAAATGACATTCGCATATTTTCATGGGTCGTTCTACTTTTAAGGTCTTAACCATGATAAAAAATAAATAAAGCTATTTAGTACATTTCATACGACTAAAATGTAGGAAAATTCCCATAGATTCGGTATCTGTAGACCAGCAGCTCAGTTTTTTATCAAAACTTATATTTTTTTGCGTTTTACTAGACTAAGATGGAAAAAAATGTATCCTTCGTCACGAAATTCAGTTGTTCAAAACTCGATAAATTAAAAGAAATTTCAATAGATATTTGCATTTATTATTACAAAATCTCAGCTTAAATCAGTCTAGGACAATTGGTAGTTAATCGTTATTTAATCAGGTAACAATTCCATAAAAATCAACAATTTGTCCCTTTNTTCGATTGACAAATACTTTCCAAGATAACAACAGTTTGTTTTGTGTGTCGGGGGAAATGAGATTTTGTGGCGGAGGTAAGGGAAATCGGTAACCGGTATCCCGGTTACTGTGAATCGGATTTTATTGGTTAACTTTATTCTAAGGGTGGTTCGACTGATCAATAGTAAATTGTTTTGACTAAGCTTATTTGGTGGTGAACGTTTTCAAAGAGTTTAAGATTTGCTTAACAGTTGTTAAGACAAAGAGTTCAAAAATAAAGTTATTACGAGTATTAGTGTTTTTATAGTAGATCTAAATGACATTCGCATATCTTCATATCGACGTAGTTGAACCCTTTACTGGACGCAGTCTGTTATAAATATGAAGTCTTATAACGACCAACCAGCTGAAAAATATATTTAATTACCACGAAGAAGCGTTTCATTGTTAAACATAACTCATGAAAACTTTTCTCCTGCAATTTTCACGAAACCAACAAAATGGCCGTTCTTTGTCATCCTACTAATATTATAAATGCGAAAGTTTGGATGTCTGGATGTCTGGATGGATGTATGTTTGTTACTCTTTCACGCAAAAACTACTGAACGGATTTTGATGAAACTTTACAGTATTATTTTTATAACCCAGAATAACATATAGGCTTTAATTTATGACGATCTGTGACAAACTAAATTTCACGCGAGTGAAGCCACGGACAAAAGCTAATTATAAATAATAAGCTATTTTGTTAGTTAATATGCTAAAGTTAAACACGAAAATGTATTTGTTACCGGTACAAATCACAAAATACCGATCAAATTATTGGTACCTATAGAAAATATTCCCATCTCTAGCTGTAAGTACGATCTTTTTACAGAATATTCGCTAGATTTATATCAAATAGACGCCCTCCAGACTACAACCTCGAATATGTTATCCACCAATCATCTTGAAGGTGAAAAAATATTTACTTATTTTGTTCGAAGCTACTTACTTTTTCTTTGAAAAATAATCTTTAACTACTACAGTTTTGTCGTACCCGAAATAAATTAATCTATATAAATAAAAATGAATTGATGTTCGTTAGTCTGATTAAAACTCGAGAACGGCTGGGCCGATTAAGCTGATTTTGGTTTTAAAATGTTTGTCGTAGTCCAGGGTAGGTCTAAACGGTGAGCAAATACGCGCGCAATATTGTTTTTCTGTGACAGAGAAAATTCCACGCGGGCGAAGCCGCGGGCGGAAAGCTAGTGAGAAATAAATATTTACCAACTCAAAATACATATTTTATTTTAATGCCAGTTAAATGGAATTGACTTATCAGTGACGATAACTAAACTCTTGTGTTTTTTACATGATCATTACTGATTTGAATAAAATATAAACTTTATTGGGATATTAGGTATTTTTATTATTACTGGTGCGGTGTGTAACAGCAGGTTTAAAGTTATGTATCAAAAATAACATTATAATAACTTGTGTAAGTTACATTAAAACAAACTTTTAACGAGCAGACTGAAGTACCAAATTCCGTTTTAAGTCTGTATGTCCGACCACACATCAGTAAAAAGTTTGTTTAGTGTAAAAACTGGACTATTCCCACCTCTCGTT